CAGGAAACCGAGCCTTCAATATCCCGATGGTCGTCTCGATTATAATGCGCTGTTGCGCCAAAAGCCAATTGAACGTCTTGTTTCGCGGTAGTGTGCTAGCTGGCATTTTATATGGGGTCAAAATGAATGGGAAGCAGCACGAATACGCTGTGTCGCCGAGAAGATATTGACCAGCGTCAAAATATGCAGCTGGCTGCTCAGCCATAACCGTCAAACTCATTGCCCGTTTATCATGCAAAGACCCTGGCTGGCCGACCTGTATCAAGTAGAACTAGCATTAGCGTAGTACCAAATGCAATGAGTCTTGCACCTTACCTGATAGTATGTAATACGGCGGCGGTGATCGCATACAATTTGAGCACCAATGCAGTAGACTGACTTTCGGGAATAGTAGCACTCGGGGTCAACAGAGGGAGCGCTACTCAGCTTAAACGTTGTGCCGTCTACACACCCAACGCAGGATGGGAACCCATCGTCAAGTCCTGCAGCGCGAAGAGAAAAACCTCCAGCTGAAGTTGGACAGGAGCTTGTTGCTGCTTGCCGGGTACTCGAGCGAAGGCAGTGTGGGCCTCGATGCGTCCCAGCAAAAACACGAAGGTCTGTTTGCTCATGCGTAGGTCGCGGCGAGCACGAACGGCATCAAGCAGAAAAATCCGTTCAGGGCTCCATTTCCCAGTTTTGACGACGTCTGGACGACCAAGGTAGCGGTGGGAGACTATCGCGCAGTAGAACATATCGTCATCGTTTTCGTCGCTCTCGCTTCCCTGGTCACAAAGCTGATAGCTTAGAGCCGAGTGCTGTAGGTGCAGCAGCAGCGCTGCTCGTAGAGATCGCCCCATTCTCACCTTCAGCGCTCACTTACCAATGAAGTCACTGGCTGCGACTGTCAGTAGCCCCTGCACACGCTGCTCACAGTTGAACAATGAAGGTTTGATTTGATTGGCTTACGAAACCTTCGTACCTTCTAACCGTGAGAACCACTACTGTGGTCATGACCCCGGTCAAGCATACATGATACAGTACTGCACATTTCTGGTACGTGTACTTGCAATGTATCGTGATTGCGGGACGGGTGAAATACTGTCGCGTCAATCTGCTTGCTGAAGACGTTCATATTCCTCTGATATACTCATTTGGCAAAATGCCGACCAGGTTATCCTCGGACTTCGACGAAGAAAAAAAGGTCAGTCCTCACTCGCCGATTTTGAGCCCGAGGGGCGAGCGCGAGTGGTCGCTTATTTCAAAGAACTCGCTACTAACCCCCCATCTCGAGTGGATGCGAGATTCCGCTCTACCACATGCCATCAACGTTAGAGTCCCTGCTGGCGAATTTACATTACATTTACAATTAATGAATTGTTGAGTTGTTGAGTAGACATAATTATATATCAATACAAAAAATGATTGTTTTTGCGCTCTATTTCGTATCTGTGGATTTCCAAAAAAATATTGATGGGGAGTCTGCTTTCAAAAACTTCCGCATTTTTGTAAAAAGTGCGTGCGCCAATTGAATCACGTTTAAAATTTTACCAGCGCTCATAATTCCCCCAGCGACTTGTACCAATCGCAATCCGCGTTTGCGATACGTGGCACCAAATGGATGTTGCACTTGGGTGTACAAAAATTCAGATAAGTATTCCTCTTATACACTCATTTGGACCATGTTATCCTTGAACTTAGATAGAGAAAAAAGGTCAGTCCTCACTCGATGATTATAAGCCCGAGGACTGGTCGCTTATTTTAAGGAACTCGCTGCTATCCCCGCCGGGATCTTCTCCGTCAGAGCCGACCCAGCCATACACGTCGCCGCCATCTTCTCCGTTAGAGCGGACACAGTCATACCCGTCGTCGCCATGTCCGCCACCAGCGTCGCGAACACCGTGTTTTGAGAGTTACCGTCTCCATGGAGGTGCTCGATAGTCACCTTAAGAGACGACGCTCCACGCAGACCCGCACTTGCTGTTTGAGTAAACGTGGAGGTTGGCGATAGTTGTACCATCGGTCTCCACGCTCACAGATTGCACGGGTAGCTGAAAAGAATTCTCCCTCACGGTCGTCGCCCTCTGAGCGCTATCATCTCCACGGAGGTTGTCGATAGAACTACCAACGGTCTCCGTGAAAACGACGACGCTCCCATGATTCGCAGACCAATGCTCACGATTTGAGTAACCGCGGAGGTTGTCGATAGTTCTACTATCGGTCTCCACAGTCACAGATTGCACGATGGGCTGACATGGAGATCGCGGCGACGGGTATCGCGGGATCGACTCTGACGGCGGCGATTGGTACGGCGGCGACGGGAATGATGGAAAAGGCTCTGACGGCGGAGATGACGGCGACGAGTATGGAGGCGACGGCTCTGGTGGCGTAAATGGCGGCAACAAGCACGGCGGCGACGGCTCAGGTGGCGGAGATGGCGATGACGGGTATGACTGGGTCCGCTCTAACGGAGAAGATGGCGGCGACGTGTATGGCTGGGTCGGCTCTGACGGAGAAGATCCCGGCGGGATAGTAGCCAGTTCCTTGAAGTAAGCGACCAGTCGCGTTGCCCCTCGGGCCAAAATCGGCGAGTGAGGACTGACCTTTTCATCGAAGCCCGAGGAAAATATGGTCGGCATTTTGCCAAATGAGTGTATAAGAGGAATACTTATCTGAATATTTGTATACCCAAGTGCAACATCCATTTGGTGCCACGTATCGCATACACGGATTGCGATTGGTACAAGCCGTGGGGGAATTATGAGCGATGGTCAAATTTTAAACGTGATTCGATTGGCGCACGCACCTTTTGCAAAAATGCTATTCAATGTCGTGCTTTTCAAATTCTATACTATTGTAGAGTTAAATATTCTCTGGATTTTAATCCAGAGTTGCTGATCGGAGGTCCGAATTCTTAAACCAAAGCACCCTTTACATACATAACTTCATCAAAAGATTGCAATCATTTCATATCGGAAGATGATGTCGCTTGTAACTCCGTCCACCTCGAGCACAATGATGGTCACTTATACGAGCGACATCCTGCGGAAATAACCGAAATTACGTTGGACTCTTTCGTTTAATAATGGAGCTCTTGTAGTCCACATAATGACACGACCTCATTGGTAATCTCGCAGAATGAACTTTCGCCTCCAGTCCGAAAACATCTGTATTACTAAAGTATTGGCTAAAGATTGGTTGCTTGCAGTGATTACCAGCCTTGGTTGCTCGTAGGAGTGCGTTTCACGGCCATCATTCTGTTTAATTTGTACTTCGTATTAAGCCACATCGCAATTCGTGTGAAAATGGTTACTACGGAGTATATCGTACTGATGGTAGATGCGGATCTTTAAGCGATAGACCTCCAGAAAAGCTGACAAAAACAATCTCATATTAACACTTCTTTATTATCAGGGCCATTATATTTATGGTGATTTCAGATGCTCAAAAGTTTCCAGTACGCATTTAAGCACCTGCTTTCATCGTGCGAAACGTGTCAGCTTGCTCAGCATTGCCCTACCGACCAACAAAATAATAATTTCAATGTATTCAAAGATTA